ATCAATGGGCAAAACAATGACTGGTCGGCGCGGAGTCAGTATACTGTGTCTGAGTGGGATGTTCATGTTAAACTGCGGCATGGTATCTCAGTGGGCTTACACTATATGACCGGTATTAGTCCGGATTAGTACAAGGAGACACACACACACGCGCGCGCGCGCGCGCGAGCGTCGCTATATTAGTGCAAAAATAGTTAACGCGACGTTAAACCCCATTTCTTCTCACCGCCTGTTTTTGTACGAGATCACATGAATGATTGCGAACCATTGTATCGCGGACAGCAAGGGATATTGCTTATAATGTCAACTGGCCTCGATTACTTAGATAGAGCCGAAAATTCCAGACTGCATGGTAAAACAAGTAAAACAATGCCATTTGATTTTTTTATTGACTTCGGAAAAATAAAAGACTTTAGTATAATGTAAAAAAGAATATGATAACATTCATTTCGCTTTTATATGAAAAGTCTGATCTGCAATCGTAACACATTGCAAGTGAAATTGCTTCTAGTGATGTTTGTTTACCTAAATATTACTTCCAGGCGCCATGCAAGCTACAGAAATTCAAATGATATATTTCACTTTTTACGATTTACACAATAAACCAGTTCAGAGAAATATCATGTTGTGGTATGTGTACCGGAGACTGCTAATCCAACTTTGGCGTCACGCTGACAAGTAACACGATTCATCATGTGGGACTTTCGTCGCCGAGTCTAGGCTTCTTGACAGATACGAATACATCTTTGGTTATGTATACTCCCAAGAGGACTGTTAGTCTCGTTTGCTGCTCAATACATAGTTGTGCATGGTCATGTCCCCGTACCAGCCATAGGGTGACGTGCATCCAGTCAACGCCTGTCTTATTAATAACGATTCCTTGCGATGTTACATTTGGTATGATCTATCCATCCAATTCATCCTTGTCCTTTATGACTACTGCTATTTCCACATTGATATGGGGATAATGTTCAGTATTCTTAATGATCTTTTGTTTTCAGTAGTTTTAACTCTGATAAAGTGCAAAGTGTTGAGGACGTGTTGTACAACTGAAACTGAAGCTTATTCCTGCAACAATCAGAGATTACTGAAGATAATATTCTGTATTTGTGAATTTACCTATTATTCAAATGAGCTATTTTCCACCAGATTCATACTCACATAAGTGTTCGTCATGGCAATGTTTCTGCCAATGTTTTCATAACTTGCTCATTCTATCTAACAGATGTAGTCGACAATCAATCATATATCAGTTTTGTTTTTATTTAAACGTGTGCGTCATGCTAGCTCACCTTCAATTTAGGTCCACGTAAAATAGTCTGAACTTTTCGTCTGTAAATACCCACCTCTCTAAAACGGTTGGGTCGATGAATCGGCTGCGGATATGATACTGCCAGTCATGACACCTATCAGTGCGCAAAATGGTTTTATCCGATTTTTATTACCAGCCGCACCACAGCTATTTGATCATGAGAGACCAATTGTTTGCCCATTAAAGTGTGTTTGTTTGTTGTTTTACGTCACAATCAGCAAGATTCATTGTACATCCCGGCTACCAGTTAAAGATCATGTAAGGGCCGAACAAAACAGTGTTTGAAGAATGAGAAGAAGAAGTAGTAGTTTATTTAGTGTCACATATCGCTTTGCACGATGAAACACGCATAAAAGCATAAAATATGTAAGCGATATCCGGCCATACAGGCATTAAAATATCGAAGCATTAAGATATATCATATTGAACATATAATGCTCGCCCATAGTTATGTTATGATATACAGTATATACATATATACACACATACACACACACACACATATATACATATACATATATACATAAACATATAAATGAGCAACGCAAAAAGCCGTTAGGAGACGATGGCGCGCAATTAGCCATGCTATAGAACCTGATCACCCATTTTGCTGATTAATGATTTATGAAAGCAGATAGTTCAATTTCATATTTGGGTAGTACGTAGTGATGTTGAACACATATGTTGTGTGTTTGACCTTAATCTGACATTTGTACCTTTACCATGTAATATTCTTATGTACTTTTCACCTGCTCCGAAACTGCAGTTTGTGATGAGGATGTGGATTGTTGGATTCTTCACGTTTCCTATGACATCAAGCATCTGAAGATCAAATGTTAAACCATACATTTGATCATTCGTGAGTCATTTTTGCAGATAATGAATGAGCATGCAGTTACTGTAGTTAGGAGAGCATTATTTTCCCCTGTTGAGAACAGTGAAATATTGCGATACCTTGGTCCCTTACAGGCATTGGTTCTATGTACAAAATACATAATTCATATTAGTAGTGACAATTTACATCTGTTATTTGCCATCTATAGGAATGGGTTTGTTTATTGTTTTAAAACTATAATATACTTGAAGTCTTTTTTATTGTGTGTTTAATGGCACACATTGCTCATATTTTAAAGCTATGGGTGTATTCCACGGAAATGATTTAGTGTGTTTATTGGGCCGACTTGTTGCACTGATGCAAAATCGTACATTTTAATCCTTTGTACAAACCACAATTCTCTTTATGGCCTTATGCAAATATGATAACTACCCCGAGGGTTTGTCCTTTATACCAGATGTGCTGCAGTTCGGTTGACCTGCTTTGTGAGTTACAAACTCTTCTGATATTAAAAAAGGACTGACACAATGGCACTTCATTAATGATAATTACTGTGAAATGTACTTGTTATGGCTGCATACCTAAGCATTGCCCAATGGACGATATATTTTGTAGCATATACACATCACAGATCTTAACAATGATCTTAAATAATACATAAATCTTCACCAGGAAAGATTGTAGAATGTGACTGGCGACATTGATTAATTCTGCCATAACTATCTCCTGAGGCACTTTCATTCTGATGGACACTTTCAGTAAGATACCGACATGAATTATGTGGCACAAAGATGGAAGAAGAAAAAAGGAATACTTGTGACTGGTTCTAGGACCATTCAAAGAAATGTCCTTTCTGTGTACATTTACTCACAACCTCAGTTCTAATTCTTAAATGTGGAGTTATCTCTTGTCAGTAAAATAGACGAAATCACTTGAAAATAATTTACCGTTTTACTTGAACTGAAGTTTCAAAGTACACGTCCATATCTGTCTAAAACACAACATTCTGTCTGATAATGATCATCGACTATTCGAAATTACTTGTAAAAGGGATACAGGTTCAGTTTGCCCCGTCACTGTATGTTTGATGCACTGCCATGTTTGTCAATGAGAAACAATGCCTTCATGTCAGAGCTCAGCGTCGCCTTGATCTCAAAGAGACCCATCGTCTCTACAGTGGATTTGTCTTGTTTGATTTACTGAAACATCATTAAAATCGATCATCTCCCCTTTGACTGGGAACAAAGAACGCAAGACAGAGTACATGCCTCAGTGATTTAAGGGGAAAAAATAGCTCTGTCAAATGATCATCTATCGTCGGAGTTGTTCAAGCGTCAGGAACGCGTCTTGGGTGCAGAATCTCACAGTGACATGCAACAAAACATGTCGATATAGACTCAGTTCATTACCTTTGACAGCATCGGTGAAATCGTTCTCAAACATCTGAGCCGGTCGTTAAAGTTCTGAATGATGTGACGTAGAAAAGCGAAACTATTGTAACTTTCATTAATCAATTTGTTTCTGAGGAAACGAAACAATAATTCATTCTAAAGGGCTGGGTAGAAATATGTTTCAGTAAATTGTCATCTGATGGACCTTTTGCAAATCATTTCTACATGTTGTATTTATCGTTGTCCGGATCATTTTCGTAAGTACGGGTAAACCGGGAACATCATATTAATTATAATTAAAAAACTATTCATACATATACATAATGTACTCTAAACTGAATAATTTAGTGTGTCCTTAAAGTTGAAGATGGCCTTGTCTGCAATGTGGCTATTTATAATATTTACACCGTTATCACTCAATGCCTGCGTTAAATATCGTCTGGAACCAGATCTATCGTAAGTGTTAAGCCATTGAGACTATCCCGAACCCTCTTGAAGCAATGTCACTGGACAGATGCTGACATTGCAAACAACAACTGTGGCAAGGGGATGCATGAAGGTATTTGAAATATCATTGCCATGGGCCACAAGAAGATTCATCACCGGCGATGAATCAACACGTTCCAGAGCACAAAGACAAAATGCTGAAGGAAATATAAGCACAGAGGCCGAAACGTTGATAGATGTCAGATTAATGTGCAATGCAGCAAGACTGAAGGATATCATATTGATATTGTTTCCTCTTACACAAGCTGTTTCGTGGCTTCCTTTGTACTTCGATCAATGCTTCTTTGATAGCACTGTGACGGTACTTGCATTTCTATTCAAGTCGAGAGGGCTTTGTGTCTGTACAAAATTGAATAAATGATGGCAGTGAATGCGTCTGGAGATGAATGTTATTCATAAAATAATTATGGAGAAGAAAAGTGTCTTATTAATATTTAAATAGAGAAATAAGGTGGAATCTTACACTAGCACGATTTCAAATAGATAACACATCAAAGTGTATTGTGTGGTACGTTAAATTATCAGGAGGGACATATATAATCACCTGATCGATTGCAATTGTCTCGCGTCTTGAGAGTTTCAGTAAGATTCTTTATCCCTTGATTTCTACTAATGGTCACACTTATTGATTAATACACTGTGATGGAGGTTTTGACATACATGTAGAGTCCCTCTATCGCCATGGCAGAACATATATGAGTGCATTTATTCATGCAGCTACCTATACAACTATGAATATGACGCAGCAATAGCTATCTGCAAACACGTGTCCCGGGACTATTAGCACTTTCAAATTCTTTAAAATGCTCTTTTGAGCATTTATAACTATTTGAGCAGTTTATGACAATACCGATAAGAACGAGGTCTAACAAACAATGTTGACTCGAAGAACAGAGCAGTGTAAATCGAATCCTTTTTTTCACTGTGATAGATAATATTTCTATTATTTTTGCAGAACAATGACGTCCAACGGCTCCGATGCCCCGTCAGCGGGGAACAACATGACTGAGAGCATCTTCTTCTCTTATAATATGATGACATTTCATGAGGAGTTTGCGCCCGCCTCGGTAATGATCGACCGCAGTATTTCCCCTATCTTTTACATCATCGGCGTCTTCTGCAATCCACTTTCTGCTTACATTTGGCTCAACAAGAAGACACGAAGAAACAACTCTTCAGCAATCTATCTGGGAACTTTGTCCATCTCTCATTTTGTGTTCCTCATTCTACATATTTTTGTTGAGCTCAACTATGCCTGGGGTATAAAGACTTACAATGGTCCCATATCGTGTGAAATCTTTAACGTTATATACTATGTACCACAGTACATGGCTCCATTGTTGGTGTTGAGTTTCACTGTCGAGAGATATATCGCAGTATGCCATCCCTTCAGTAAAGAGAAATTCTGCACAGTTCGTAGAGCTATAATAGCGGTGGTGATTCTGTACATATCTTCAACGCTCCTCTCAGTGATTCAGGGATACTTCTGGACATACAATCCAAGTCTTGGGGATTGTGATCATAGAGTTGAAGCTAGACTTGGAGGTCAAACTAGTATTATCAATGTGTGGACATGGATTTCTGAACTGTTGATATTTGCCATTGTACCACTTGCCGCTCTTGTGTTCAACATATTTGTTATCAATGAGATTAAATCACTGACAAAAAGGGGTCCTGCCTACCAGCAACCCGGAAGTGGAAGTCCAACAGCTTCAACCGTTACCCTTCTAACCGTTTCCTTTTACCTAATTTGCACATGGTTGCCAGCTACGCTTGTGTACTCCCTGCAGAATCTGTTCATGGCTAATGATAGGATGACCGCTGAAGAGATCCGAGCGGACCCAGAATGGAGAAGTTATTTTATCTATATTACGATCAGAAAAGCTATTGAAGAAATCACACTGTCCAACTCGGCGTGTTATTTTTTCATTTACTGCATAACGGGGAAACACTTCCGTGATCAAGTCTGTGCATTATTCGGTCTGGAAAAGTGTGTTAGGTCCGAGGAAGTACAACCACCTGCATACAAGCAATACATGGCTGTTGCTAAAATAGACCATGTTACCAATGGCCACACGTCTATTACAAGTGTCTGAAGCTTTGGATTGAGTCGGGGTTCAGTTTTGTGCATTCGATAGCGGAATTGTAACGTGACACGGCATACGAAAGCCATTATTGGATGTCAATGTACTGATATAAAGTGCTTGGCGGTATGTCAATGACGTCTTCTGACAACCTTGGGATCTGCGTAGCCAAGACAGAATGTAGGGAAACATGCAGATGCTTCTCCCCGTGATTGCATAATGCATGTACATCACCCGCTGTGTTGATCTTTATATGGTACGTTCAACTAGTCTGTCGTTCATTGGGAGCATCACTTGATGATTCTACATCTCAGACGTGCTGTGAATAGATATATTCTATAATTAACACACGGTGCTGAGAGTGGACTCATGGGTTGGGGATTACAACCCGAATACCATGAATTAACCATTCATACGAGCACACACCATGTATAGAGTCATGAAGTGTTATTGCATGTCAATTGCTACTGGTGTCGATTTATTCAAGGATGCACGTACACAAATGAATGTGATGCTATCAGCTAAATGTATAATGATTCGTATAAACACTATGACGAGATATCTAGATGTTAAAGACATACTTTCATGGTGTGCGTTGTTCATAGTTTTCATGTAAAGAATTTTGTTCGGAGAAGGAATTTGTTGTACAACGACGTACAGCTCACTGATATTTACTTTATCATATATTGTGTTAAAAAATATATGCGTATACTGTGAGCCAGACACGATATATCGCTAAAATGTCGCCTACATCGCTTTCGACAGATTTACTAAAGTTAAGACAATATCATCACACGCTTTGACAGACCAAACATGAGAACTGGAAATGGCACTGGAACATTGTAACTTCAGAACGTCATTGCATATACCAAATCCATGATTTTGAGAAAGTAAACATTTATTCAACATAGCTGTTTCAACATAATTCAATTGGGAAATATTTTGTATAGTTTGAATGACGATATTTCACGGTGTTTTTCCATATATAGATGAATAGTAAGTCTTGAAGTAAGGCTTTAGGATATAGTGCTGGGTTGAACCAGAGCAAGTGTTTGTATTATTACAAATTGTAGGATTGTTGAATCCTACCCGTACTACAGAAGTAGACGGTACACACACGAGACATCAATGGTGCATTAAGTTGTCTATTGAACATTGTAGGCATTACAGGACTCTGCCAGGATATCAGACCCGCCTCAGTCATCTAATTATATACTTGTATTGTATAACGATAACACTTGTACATCTAGATCTCGACGACTCTCAAATAAATAGTGGAACCAGGTTAGCGCGGACCAAACTACTGCGGCGTTACAATTCACAAGAGAACCCTGACATGAACAATAATCCGAAGTGTCAAAATATAAAGACTTTGGATCTTTTGGATTATCGATGTTCCGCTTTTGTTTAATTATCAATTGTTTGCTCTGAGACTTTGTTTTATAAACACTTTGCAAGGGTTTCAATGTGTATTGCCCAAGACAATCTGTTGAAGTTATGAGTCTTCCCAAGTGTTACAGTGAATATGAGACCGTAAGCAATGTATTACAAGATACAAAATATGAATGCCCATGTAAGGTGCTAAGTTTGATATGGGAAACCCCATTGTATATTTTGATAAGCATCAAACAGAATTGCAATTGACATGAAAGTCATGAAATTCTTCCTGTTAGTGGATTGAAATTGGTAGATTTTCCGCAGGCACTTATATTGTTCATTGACGTAAATGTAGATAGTAATACTTTAGCATAATTTCAGGATTTGTCCAGTTAATGTGAAAGATACGAAGTATATTTCATAGAATTCGCTCAGTATGAATACCTACAATGTAAGCTGGTTGTTGAGATATACTTATTCTTGTATATGTTGCCTACATGTATCTGTATATGTTATTTAAGACCACTGTGTGCTCGCACTTTGCATTATGTTAAAGATATCCGTGGTAAGTATGGTATGTTATGAGATGAGACATATCTAAGAGTTTATTAACACTATCTATTTAATGAAGGGGAGGTTTCCCCGAAAATATTATTCAAGGATAGGTACCTCTCGCATACTACTTCTACAAAGATTTCAAAGAGCATTCTACAACTCTTGCCCAAAAGTTGTTTGATCAGTGTTCTAATATACAAGGCCTTAGTAAAGGGTTTTATGGTAGACATGTGCAAAGCATTTCAAAATGAGGCGCATCAGTTACAAAAATGTCTGATGCGATTCCCTATTTTTTGACTTGTACCATGTGTTCCCGTGTTTTATAGATGAACGATTGCCTTGCCTTGGCATGTGTTTGTGACGGGTGCTCCCTTTGTGGCTGGGTACGCTCATCTTTTCACTAACATCTGGTATCATCACTATTTGATAGTGATTCATAAACACATGATAAAGATATGGTCGGAATCTTAGTAACAGTGGAAATAAGTTATGATTATGGAAAAAAGTTTGTGACTTTTATTCACATACTGGTGAAAATATCTTGTCTCATATATGCATGACAAAAGGTCAGTGCAATCCTAATGATGTTTGAAACAATAACAATAACACTAACAGGCGACCATGACATTTGTGATGAACGTTATTCTCGATGGGGGCTGGTAGATGAGACAGCACAGCCCTAATTGTGGATTTCGTCCATCATATTGAAGATCGTAGTACTGTTTGAGATCGAATTGCGAATATGACTTATCTATCCCTTGCAATTGTATAAAATGATTATTATGTGTCCGGTTGAACGTTTCCGTTTCACTTTGTTGCAATCAGTTGCAATGGTTATCTGATCTGGTCAGTAGTGAAACCACTGTGGTGCATATGCCGTCATATATACAAGTCGTTTATTCATTATTTTGATTTGTTGTATTTAGCATAATCAGATTAAGCATGAAAAGTGCATGTTTAAAACATCATGTTTTCATCATTTACTGTTATATAGTATATACATATATATATATATATATATTTGTTAAACTGCCTGTTCATTCTTATTTATGCTAATTATTATGATCAGCTCATGAAATTAAAGTATTGTTAACTCATTTAGCGTTTGCCTTGTCAGTGTATGACCGTCGGCTGCAACTATCAGCATACAATTGTTTGCATTATTTGTGTGTGTGTGAAATAACGAATTTTCAGAATTCTGCAGTGTTGCCAAGGAAACAAGGAAAAGGTTTAGAACTATATTTGTATTTCATATTACCTATGGCTCTCGAGATTTGGGTTAGGAATCACTATGTGCCTTACTCTGTTGTTTATTGTTTTCCTCATAGAAGTGGGGCTGATGCTGTATTGAACAGTGTCACTTAAATGTCATCTTAATGTGGAAGGTAAGCATAAGTGCTGCAGACCATCACGTTTACCAGTTTTGTGAAACCCACGAGCACGGTGTAGTGCGACCAAAGTAGTGACGTCATGCATCACTTCATGGAACTACAATTGAAGACCGTATTTGCTTGAAATTGGTAAACCATCACTGAACACTTATTTGTATTGGGTGCTACAAGTTACATGTCAAAACTAAATTCATCTTATGTAGGCTGTCGTCATAATCCTTTGTACAATATCAAGTTACTTTTTGTACATTTTACTCTTTTCATATTATGTTATTTATCAATGTTATGTCAGAGAAACGTGCGTGTAATCGGTTAATAGATTTCCAATTTTGTATTATGTTCTTTAGATGCCATGTGCGATTTTTGCTCCCTGAATAGCACCTTAAATGCTGTCAATATCTGGTCCAATGGCTTATTGCATCACTACATGTACATTAACACCAGAATACATGAATAAGAAATACCAGCAGAGATTATTAATAAAGAAACAGGACGATGTATCAACATCCTTCACATAAGTGTTGAAGCATAAATTTCCTAAGGACAAGGTTAGTCCAAGACATATATCAGACAGGGCGTACAGATTTAATATTGTATGAAGTGATCCTTCTCTTTGAGCCTTGAATGTTGGATCAGAGCGTTAATGGACGATGACTTGTAAGCTTGGGACAATGAGCGTTTTTATCAAATTTACTGACTTCAATGAGGAACTTTTCGAGTCCCAGACAGTTGCAAATTGATTCCCAACATCTCGAGTATGGGAGAGAGGAATTGTGGGGCTTAGTGTTGGCAAGTCTGTCTGTTTCAGACACAAGTAATTGCACTTTCGTGTCCAGTCCTGCTCTCTCCACGTCCGCCTGACAGCTAATTTTGTCAGTGGTATTACTTGCATTTTCCAGCTGAAATTAGTCTCTCTCATATCATTCTAGAAGCATACATCGTAATTGTTATATAATGTGAATGTGAGTTGGAATACCATGGGCGTATCTTTAATCGATAGGTGGATGTCTGACTTTTGTAATTTCTAGTCTTCCATTCCTCATTTACCCAACTACGAGTGAAATTTAGCATATGCGCTTTCATGTTTCATTCCACTAACATAAAGGTCACCTGACATATGGTGATTACAAATGTGTATCATGTTATACAATAGGTATGAATACAGTATTGACGTCCATAATCCCATTGATAAAGCTACTGCGATTAAGCGTATTAACATATATGCACTTGGCAGTATTTAGTCCATGTACATGTGCCGTACAATACTTCAGCGAACTATGCACTTATACGGTATACCTATTCATTATACATTTAGTGATCAAATACTATATGTATCTCTAAGTTTAAAATCAATATTTCACGCAAGTGAAGTATCAGTTTACATCGGAACTACTTTCAGTCTGCCTCAATGACACTATGGCTTTTAGAGTAAGAATATGTAAGAAAAAAGAAAATGGATAGGACACCTTTCTTTCCATGCCAATGACATGTTTATCTCGAATCTTGGTCTCCAAAGAATTATAGGGGCGGTGGGTAGCCATGTGGTTAAAGCGTCACGCCGAAAACCCGGGTTCGATATGCCACATGGTTGCAATGTGGGAAGCCAGTTCTAGTGTCCCCCGCCGTGATATTGCAGGAATATTGCTAAAAGCGGCATAAAACCATACTCACTCACTCACTCCCTGTTCATGGTCTCATATTGGAAGTCGTATTTTGTTATACATGTATCTGTACTGCAAACCATGTTCTCCACCTAGAATTTTTATTATCATCATACATCCTTGATGTTGTTGATCTAGGTACAGGGCGAGTGTCCACGTGGAGAAGAAATAGCACAGTATTATATTTAGCCGTTTTGGAATGTCATATATTGTCAGACATCCCTGGTTCCCAAAATAGAAACATCATGCTCCAATAATTTCACAGTGAGCAAACTGTGCCATCATGACTACCATCCATATACGGATACATGTAATTAATATTGTGTTAATATTAACGATAGAACATACAGCACGCCACGTGTCACAACCTGTGCGATAGCGGATATGTCGCCTACAGAAATTCAACGATTGCTTTACGACGACGTGAGTAACTCGTGGATCATAGAAACACTGAAGGTTATAAACAAGCTTATTTGTGACGTAATTGCATCGTCCTCCCATAGCTGTTCCATTCGATATGAAAAAGAACGTCAACAATTGTATGTAAACTTAAATTTAGCATTTATCCATCAGACACCCGTAGTGCTATTGTTTCAAACATATCACATTGTAACAAATTTCATAAGAGCTTAATAACCTGAAAACAATTATAATTTTCATTAAACATTGTATGGTATACAATAAATCACATTTCAAATACATTTTATCTACATTTTCGTTAGGATATTACACAGAACACATGGCCATCAAAATCTAGAATGTAGTCCTTAACAAAATAGAAATTATCCCTCATATATTCACTGATTCAACGTGTTTCATGCGACAGGCTGCTGTACATTAATCATCATATGTTTGCTCTCGCAAGGTACAGCTGTTGCGTGGCGGTATACTGTGACCACAGCACTGAAGCGTGTTACATCAAGGCTTTAGCTTGACAATACCTGTCAAGACGGTTATCGCCTAGTGATCCTGAATCGCCATTTTAATCACGAGATGGATAAGATAGTTTAGTGCATGGTGCCCCACGTCCAGTATTCTCGTGTAAAATGAGATTCATCTGATTATGAATCCTATCATCGGATCAACTAAAACAGACTACGTGGTCCAAACAACATACCGGTGATGTGAGGAGGCAGCGCTGTAGACTGTCTATTATGATAGCATTTACTAAATAAGACAACGCTGAGAGCATTTCTTTATTATAAAAAAGATAATGTAGTAAGTGATTCCTTGAAAGTGCATGATTAGCACCATGTTTCGCGTCATTTGTGCAATGCTTAACACATGGACATGATAACACAGAAACAGACATGCTACTCCATATAGGAATAGTAACATAAATGCTACTCAGTATAGGAATATTCAATTAACTATTCCTATTATCATTGATACACACTGGGTTCGTCCATACGGACGTCATTGGTTATGAATGGCTTCCATAGCTATACATTGAATACTGGTTTGTCAAACTAGAAGGGAATCGTTTGACTTATCTGAGCGTTCGGCAATTCCGAAAACGTCTCAGCAGTTCTCAGCGCTATTCGCGACAGCAATATAATGGTATAAGCACCGACAATACAGAGAAATATATTGTTTCGATTTGTTTTAAGGGTAAGTAAAGAAACATCGAATTTGAGACGTTTACATCGATTGAGATGCACAAAAGGTTTACATTTTTCAGTTCACTTAATCGGGCACACGTACATTTGTTCATGCGTTTCTCAATTTTGAAATAATCTCGAAACAGCCGAATCCTTCGCACCTGATTCGACTTAACAGACATGAAGTAATGATCAATGAATAAGGCATTATCCGGGACAGAACAATCAGATCGAAATACACGAGAATTCGACAAATCTGAGTTCGACACAATGATATTCAACTGAGTATTTTGATCTGCAGAGAAATAGTAATACACAGTACATGTACTTCTCAACATTGGAATATTCCTGATATCCTTTATACACATGTGTTAGTTTAATTTGAAAGTGATTATCTTCAAATGGCAACGTAGAATCTGTATTATCGACGACGCCAGTGCTGATTTATGGAGTATATCTTCTTAAGATGTCATTACGGTGTTCCGGTACAGGTTCTCCCACCTTTAAAGCAAATGTATGTTTAAGAAGTGGACATCCGTTAGTCAAATCTGTCTTTGTTGGATTTTATTGGTTAAGATGGGCTTCCATAATAATCATATTACAATAAAACACAATCACAAAGGGCAACCATTAACTCATTATTTGACAGTGCCACGATTACGGTGGTACTAAGCTGCCATGTTATAAGTACGCGAACAAAGACTGGTCACTCACACTACAGCAATATGCCTTAGTTGTTAACCCTTGTAAGTAACTTGAAGAGATGTTACTCCCTTCAGCTGTAACACCTACACCTTAATCTGCGTGCAATCACTACAAAGAAATACACTTACGCGTATAATACACTAATCTTGGTCGATTTACAAAATCCAGCAATGACTAACACTATTTGACCTGGCTTTTCGAGCACGCCTAGAGCAATTTCTATTCGTGAATTCAGTTATTTCTTCGTTGTTTGCACACCTATTGACCTGGTGTCAATGTTATAGATCCAGCACAAATTTTAATATCCTGAGCGAACCTTGTAGAGTAAAACAAACACATCGAATCCATATAATGCTTTGACACATTTGAACATCGGCTATATGGTATTAGTGATATTTATTTTCACTAATCTTTCATTATGCGAGTTGTCAAAATTGTTTACTGAAGTGCCAAATATGGACCATCGATTCGTGAATTCACACATATGCCATGTTATATGGACCAAGATTTTCAATGAAAGTCAAGGTCTCAGTCATGGCAGGGTTTGATACTGATAAAGTTATATTAATTGATAAATAAGCTCAACAATATTCTTACACATTCATGTGAATGGAGGCACGCGTGCGTAACTGGTACATAAATTGTCATTACCAGTTATATTTTATAATCTATGTAATTCGATGTACCGAAAATGAACTTTCTGTTAAACTATTTTGTGGAGCCATATGCAAACATAAAT